CCTAGTTCAGCTCTATTAAGACCACAAAAGCTGCCACTGATCCAGCAAGACATTGAGATAGGCTCGTTTGTATTTTAATTAGATATAATTAATTATAAAAATAATTAATTAATATAATTAATTTTAATTTTAATTAATTATATTATAATGTAATCTGTTTGGATACTGAAATTTATTTTAGCTGTGTAAATTATCATAAAGGCATTGCTTTTTAGAAATAATTATTGATAAAGTTATATTTAATGTTATTAAATTTGTTAAACTTTATTTAAGAAATAAAATATATTATTTAATAGTAAAATTAAATCTATAAACAACCTTCCAGAACTTATTTTAAAATGTAATTCTAGCTCAAATAATCAATTATCAATATTTCTGATTGTTTGGGTAATTATTATGAAAATTGATTATTTGGCTAAATTAATCAATTTTTTGGCCTTCCCAAACAGGCTGGTAACAATGCATAACTAGTAAATACATTGTATATACTATAGGTATAAATACTTAATGAACACTTGCACTCTCTTGTTCTTAATAGTATTGCTATAATGTACCATTCTAATTATATACTCAAAAGTTGGGAAGAGTTAATTATCAACGTTTATAAATAATATAACGATACAACACTTTCTCACTGTGCTAGTCTAAAGAAGAGGCACATGTAATCAATTACAGGCGTGTAGTCTCCTTGACTTTCCTATCAGTCCTATCGATGTGGAGATCGTGGATGCAAGATTATGTAAGACCGGAACCTGTCAGAAATCAAGAAAGCATAGTTTTAGTTAACAAAGAAAGATAATTAAAAAATAATTAATCATTCAAAAGAATGGAATATGATGATCTAAAATTTGGAACCCAAAAAACAAAAACAAAAAAAAATATCCCAAAAAACACCGAGTATATAAAACCTGGCACCCAATGAAAACTTATTTCAGAAAACACCAAGTGTCCGAAATAGACGATTAAAATCTTGCTGTCAAGGCACGTTCTCTAAAGAATACAAAGAAATAAGCTGCATTTGCTTTAGAAGAATGCAAAATTATTCAACTATAATCTTCCCTTATGTGTACATGAGGTGGCCTTTAAATAGGCAAAAGAAATTTAGAATAATTTAAAGGTGCAAGAACAAACATGCCATAACCGTCAGATTAATAACTTAGCTAGTACGGGGCTGGCTTCAAATGCATTCTAGCTATGACCTATAAGTGTCCATGAAAGGTATAAGGCTTTAACAATAATTTAGCAGCTCTATGTATCGGCCCAATCCTGACGTGACTCTCCTGGATACGTTTTGTTTACATATCCAGTCTTCATTGTTCAGACTTTTAGGTTCTTCGGTTTTTAAAATATTTTAGTACTGTACAATATTTATCTTACAATCAATATTTTAATTTTCTAAGTCCAAAGTGTTTAAGTTTCCAAATCAGCTCCTCTCTCCCATGTTATGTTGAGTGCAAAGTTCCAAATTCTAAGATGAATTAATTTAGGTTAATTTAGAGATCACATTATTAATTTATGGGATATATATATATATATATATATAGGTGACTGTATGCTTATGTCCACATCTAACTTACGTGGAGAAAATGAATCAGAACTCTATGATCAAGAATTAATAAGCTGCTCTGCAACGTGAGATCAATGTTGTAATTTAATCTCTCCTTCTCTGCGTGTGTGTGTATTATATTCATAGTGTCTTGTCAGGATGGAGACAAACATTTTAAAGCCACTTTTTGAAATTTTGTTTTTAAAGGCAGGTTTTGTTTATTCATCTTAATATATGATTGTCAGATCGGCATCTTCTAGAGGTTAATTGTATTAATTTTAACGAGTGAAAGGCATATTAGATTATACCTTAATTTTCCAATGCATGTTACTTCATGATGCGGGGAAACAGATGGTAACAAAGTAGACTAATCAAGAGCCACTAGAGTGCATATTTCTCTACCCACAAGCTTTAATCTTAATAAAATAAACTATAATAATTGTTTAAGCACGACATTTTGAGCTTTAGCTCATATGGATAGGAAAAACAAATATTTTTGACAGAATTACTCCTAACTAAATCCAACAATGCTGTGCATGCATAGAAAGCACGAAGACATCATTTTTGTTGGTTTTTGGTTCGGTGCTTTTATGATTCACCATTGAAATTTTGAAACAGAAAGATTCAAAACAATTACATCCTAGAATATATATTTTAGGTAGATATTACAAAAACCTTAAACTTAAATTGAATGGTTAAGTTTGAAAATATTAATTTGACTTTGAAAAAAAATTATCTACGGCTAATCGTGAATAACATTATTAAACTATCTTTTATAAAAATATATTTTCAAAGATTTGTTTTCTGATAGGCTATATATAAGTAGTCGTTTTCAATTTTAATAAATCGGTCATTGAATTGAAGTCCATCTGACAACAGAACTATGAGACAACAATTTTAATCTCGATAAGACAACCAATTAAATTGGTTGACAATGATATCTGGTCTCGACTTTTGTTTTATTCCTATCATGATAAGAAAACTGCTGGATTCTTAATCTTATGTTCAAGCTGATAGTAAATGTATTAATTTGTTTTATGTTACATGAAAGTAATCACAATTAATCTAATAACAATTAAATTCTTAAAATGCTCCCAAAAAAAAAAAGGTTGCAAACTCCCATGCAAGTAGTTGCAAACACATGGAAGGTCTGCAATTAAATCACTGGACGACGGTGACTGTATGCTTATGTTCACATCTACATTAAATGGAGAAAACGAATCAGCTGATCGATCGAACTCCATGGTGATTAGGAATTAATAAGCTGTGCTGCAACACAAGATTAATGTATAACTTAGCTTTATAAATATACACCCACACACACATATCATAATGGCTTGTCAGGAAGAGGACAAATATTTTCCAGCCGTGTCGTGAAATTCTCCGTTGTAAAAGTAGCTTTGTTTTAAGCATCTTTCTGTACGTATACAATGTTACATAAGAGTATATATACTTACTTTATTATATTAATTTTAATATAATAAAGGCATTAGAGTATATATACTTTGCCATGCATGTTACTTTAGTAGGCGTACGTGTTATTTTAGACAATGTTTATCCGGAGTTATTTTAATTAAAAAATACATATACCAGCTGGTGATAATAAAGAACATAGGGATCAAGAGCCACTGCAATGCGTATTACTTCTCTGATAATGTTATTTTCCTTTTCCTTTTCCTTTTTTTCTTTTTGAATAAATGCGATATGCTAAAAATGATGTTCTATTATTATAATTTATTTTCCAAAGCAAAGGTAATTTAAAATATTTGTAATTAATTTTCATATTGTTTGTTTGCGTGGGTGCATGAAAGAGTGGATCAAAGAGAATATTTTGTTTCACCGTATCACTAATATATACTTGTAGAGAAATTTTTAAATAGATCAAGTATAAAATGTTATTTGTGGTTTGTCCAATAAAAGTCATTTAAATAAAATCTTAGGTAAAATTATTTTAATTAATTTTATTCTTATAATAGAATGCATAATTAATTTTTTGTATTTTTTCTTTCTACTATTTTTAATATAAAAATTAATTTATATTTAATGTCATTTAAATGTTATATTTTTATTGGACAAATTATAAATAACGTAATACACATATTCTTAAAAATATATATATATATATATATATAATAGTATAATAGACAAACTTTATTAGGTATAAAATATGATAATATATGTTTCTGTATTCCGAGTACAAAAGGATATATCCTATATTCCGTAAAAAGGTTGTGTGCGTATGTGTGTTGCGTGTTGTGTGTGTGAGTATCAAACAATATTCCTTCTTGTTATGTCTGTCACTTATTTATATAAAAGCTTGGATGCATGCACTCCTTCTATCTGCTCTATATTTTACTGAAGAAGCTAACTTTGAAATAAGTTCCATGGTGCGTTTAGATTAATAGAAATTTAGATTTAGTTTAAATCCCTCATTTAGATACATAAAAAATTACAAATTTAAATTTGATTCAAGTTAAATCCATTTCTCGGCACAATTTTCTTGTGATTTCAAATTCTCTCTACATATTATAATCATTTAAAATTTCAATCATTTTAAACATTATATTATGTTCTTTTTATGCTTTAATTTCGCTATTATTATCTCCATAACTCTTGTATTTTTTTTATTTCTCATCAATTAACAAATATAGATAAACTTGCCATTTTTAATATTTCATTTTTCATTTTAAATCTCAAGACATTTATATTTTTTATTTAAAAATTTTTTAAACTATTCAAACAGTGAATTTTAAACATAGGATTTCAAATATAATATTTTAAATATAAAATTTAAATTTAAATATCAATTCAAACGTTACCTAAAATTATTCCTCATCCAAAAATCATATATACCTCTCCACGACCACATGTGTGAGATATTAAGTCGTACAACATATTGATAAGTATATATTCAATAGTTCCAATAGTTCTTTAATTGAGCTTCCTTAGTAATCTAGCTGCCAGTTCATACATGTGCCACTGTTCATGACCGAAGCATGAAAACAAACAGGGAATTGATGCATATTTTCATTTTACTGTGTTTTTCTCCGTTCAGTGTTTACTGTTACTATTGAGATTCTTGGGACAAACAAAAAGCACATTATCGGGAAAAACACGCACATGCATATAAAGTATGCTTGTTTCTACCTGGAAACTTGGGATTTGACAAAGGGACCATACTGATATATACGTTGTGTGGGTATGTGTGTCTGTGTGTTGTGTTAAAGTACTAATAATAAGTGATTGGTAAAAAAAAAAAAAAGTTTTAATAATAAGTGACCTTCAATATCTTGGTACTTGGACCTATATATGGACCTAACTTTTGCTTCAAGCTGGCACGGTGCAACATGTAATGGGACAAAGCAGAGTACTCGTAGCTCGGCGAGACTATGTATAATGATTTAACGAGACAAAACAAATTGCAAAACCTAACCTATAATTATATTCTGCCATACATTTGATTGATATTACATTAATATCAACTAGCTAGCTGAGAATGTGCTCTAGCTATACATAATTGAAGTTGTACGTATCTGACCGTGTGACGGCCGCCTGCTGAGCTTCGTTAATTAATAGAAGTGCCTTCAATTTAAGCGTACTATTAGTAATTACACACTCACACGAGTGAGATGATATATTGAGATGATATATCACTCATGACACCGTTTGAGATGAATGCTAATCTAATTTACCTTGAAGCCTTGCGTGCAGGCACATTCTATCATAATCAATTACTACTATATGCTTTTGGGTTAATTCAAATAAAAAAAATAAAAAAAATACAAACAGTCATCATGTCCGTGTGAAACATAAAAGTAGGAGAAACTAACGAAAATCAACTCTTAAGTCTTAGCCACGCACTATCAAGTTCTGCAAATGTCAAGACCATCATTTTACTCAGAAGCTCAACCCATGGACACAAAAGTTTAATTATTAACATAACCAGCATATATATTATTTTCTTCCCGCACGCGCGCGCGCACACACATCTGCATACGTTGTCAAATAAATCTTCAAGCTTATATTGGAGACCCCAAAAAGAAACTAGGAGGTCTTTGGTGGCGTAAAATATGATATAGCAGGCCTAAAGGTTGCAAGAGAAAGAGGATACGAGGAAGAAGAAAAATGCTCCGCAGATGATGGTGGCACAGTGGCAGCCTCATGGGATTGAATCATTGAAGTTGTACTGCGGATGAAATGGTGGTTCTGATCATCATGAGAATGATGATTCAGATTCAAGGGGTCTTTGGAACTTTGACCAACGTTGTTGTAGTCGAAGCTTTGACGGCCTTGATCATAAAGAACACCACTGAACACACGTCCTCCTATGCTCACACACGTTTGGTATGCGTATTCGTCAACCGTACCATCCCCAGAACGCACCCAAACGCAACGAAACACTGCCTTCGAACTCATCACAGCCGGAAGCTTATTCCACTCCTCTAGTCCTAAAGCAGACACAATACATTGTTTAGGACTTAATCTTAAATCAGTATAAATCGATACGTACGTAATCAATACGTATAAATGATTGGAAATCAAACTATTTTGGAAGGTGTGAAGAGTACTTACCTAGTGGAGGACTGTTGTGAGAGGGGGTTTGATGGTGAGGTTGATGAAGGTGGCGCCTCCTACAGATAGGAACCCAAGTGGTGTTGATATGAGTTTGGCAGCTAAAGGCTTTGTTGTTACAGCAAGTTCTGCATCTCATGAATTCGCAACCCTTCTTTGCCTGGTTCCCACAGTCTTGGCACTTGGTGGCTCCTCTTCCTCTTCCTTCTCTTATCTCCCTCAACATCTCTCACTTTCAATTCCTTTCTCTCTTCTTTTTTCTTTCCTGGGCTGTTTCTGTATCAGCTTTTGATCGCTTGTCTGGTTGTCTCAGTGACAGGTCTTATATATAGAACAAACAACCACACCTCTCTTTCTCTCTCTGTCTATCTCAAAGATATTAACATATGATTCGAGAGTTTGTGTGTGTGTGTGTGTGTGAGCGAGCGGAGAATTGATTCTTTAGTGTGTTTTAAGATTCACCCACTCCGCCTTGAATGAAGTTCGACAACCAATTCATGCCCAAAAGAGAAGCGAATCTAATTCATAGCAATAATTAATTCAAGCATAACCAGTTGCTTTTGCACTATTGTTGGGGGGGGGGGGGTTTAATTATTTTATCTAGTTAATTAGTCTCAATAATCATGATAGCATGCCCTTAATAGAGCAAGAAAGTGACGGGAAAGAAGTCGGTTTTTATCTCTAGGCATGTGAATTTCAAGCATATACTTCCAGTGTAAAGAGTAAAAAGAGTATGGCTACTACCAGAAACATGGTGATTGTGTCAGGATCCACCACGCATTTGGGAGGCAAAGAACATCTGCAGATGCCATTAAGGAAATTGGATTATTATATTACAGATTTTGGAATGCTTTGGGGCAATGTCAGCAACAAGATGTCAGGCGGCAGTATGATCAAGATTACCTATACTTGGATATCCTAATTACTGAGTGTATCACTGTTACCATTTTATTCATTTCTCAATTCATCAACTTTGTGTTTGCTAATTGGGCTCGTCGCTCATCACTATGATTAGATCTGAGTTTAAAATATTATTATATATTTTTATTTTATATTTATTAAAATAAAAATTTATAAAAATAATAAAATAATTTTAATTAAATTTTTTTATTTTCAATCTGGCCTAAATTTAACTTAAAGGGTCTAATTTAATATCAAAATTTTATAATTATTATATATTGATTATATAGATATACTCTGTACATTTCAAATTAACACCAAATTAAATTTAAATTGTGTAAAATGCATTTGGATAGTCAATATATAATAATTATAAAAATTTTAATATTAAATTGGACCCTCCAAATTAAATCTAAACCCGACTAAAAATAAAAAATTTATTAAAATTATTTTATAATTTTTATAAATTTTTATTTTAATAAATATAAAATAATAATACTTTAAATGGTCCAATTCTCATCACACCAATGAGCACAATACTGAAGTTGAATCTGTTTATTACTTGATTAGAGTAGTAGCTTTCGCTATAATGAATGGAAAAGGAAACCAGGTCCGTCTTACAGTTTTACCAAAAAAGCAAGCTAATGGTAAAATCTTAAAAGCTGCTATTATCAAGGTGTAAAGCTACAATTCTTCTAACCTTTTTCCCTCTTCAAAAAGCTCCTATTAAGTAGTTGGGTGGCTAAAGCATTAAACTTAGTCATCTTTTTAACATGGAAACAAGTCATTACTTGAAGCGTGAAGCTAGCTCATGGATCTTTAAATGTTTAAGGGTCCATCTGGTAAAATGAAATTAGGAGGGTGAAAATGAATAAAGAAATAAAATTAAAAATTTTTCATGTTTGGTTGAATAAAATCATGTGGAATTGAGCTTGTACATGGAATCCAATTCCATTTAGTTGGATAAAACATAAAATCATGTGAAATTGAACTTTCACATGAAATTCATTTCTATCAAAGAAACTTAGGCCATGTTTGATATATTAGAATCAGGTTCAAGAAAAATGAAATTGAAATCATGCTTTTAATGGTTTGGTATGTATAAATTTAAATTCTTGATGGATTTCAATTTTGTCAAAATACCCAAAATTCAATTCCACCTCTATCATGATAGAATTGTCATAAATGCCCCACTCTTTCTCTTTCTCTCTCCCCCACACCCCACCCTTCACCCCTCACTTTCTCCTACCCTTCACCTTTGTCGTTAACCCAGCAACATCTTGGCCAAATGGCCACCTTCCTTTGACCAAGACCTTGGCAACATCTCGACCATATGGCTATTCATTGCTTTTTCTCCTACCTTCACAAGCATCTCAAGCACCGTCAAATCTAGGTTTTAACGTTGCAATTTCATCACCCTTTGTCCCTTCATGTTGATCAACTCCTCCCCCTCCCCCTCTTGTCATCTCCTCCACATTTCCCATAACTGGCAAACAATTGGGTAGTTGTGACAGAATCTATAGTTGGTTTGATTATTGAGGCTGTGATTGTTAAGGAAGGTTCTTGATTTGGTCCTTCGGATGCAGTTCTTGAGTCGAACAAGTAGTACAAATTGAACCCAAGAGGAAAGATGAAATTGAAGGCACATGCTTGTTCTTCAAATCTACAATTTGATTGTGTGTGTTAATGGTATTTTTTGAAATCAGAGTTATGTTTCAGATGGTGATGGCTAAGTTTTGGTTTTTAATTTTTATAAGGATATTTTGCTCTTTATTTTTTTTAAATACATATATTTATTAATGTTATATTTAAATTTTATTTTCATGCCAAACATACATTTATAACTCAATTTTATTTCGATTTCAATTCTATTAAAAACTCTCCCATCATATTAAATAAGGCCTTAGTTTTGCAATTCCATGATCTTTTTTTATTTTTTTACCCCTTCTCCTTTCAACCGCTCAACTTTCCCATCGGACTAGGCTTTGTGAGGATTGATCTTCAACCTCCAACGTTCCATCTCTGAACTTCGTTGCTCAACCAATGTCGCTCGTGTTGTTCATCGTGGGTCACATCTTTCCTCGGCTCACCGTCACCTGTTCTGTTCATCCAAAGTCGGCCATTTGTCACCACCAAGATGCTGTTGACAAAGAAGCCATAGCAGATATGAAAAGTGAGGTTGAAGATGGCTTCAATCTCAACTCCCTCCCTCTTTCTCAATAGCTTCAATCTCGTCTCCCGGTGACGACGTCGCTATAAAATGTGGATTAGGTGGGCGCAATGGTAGCAATACGACCACCTTGATTTGCCACATATCCCTTTTTCTATAGATCCAATGCCAGCACTTACACAAATCGGTTGATAACTGTTCGCCCTAGTCGTTTGATCCCTCTTCATTTTGTTAATTATTTTATGGCCAAGAGTGAGTTTCTGTTGATATGATTTTTCTTTGCCCTCTTGATGATTGTTCTTGTTGTCGCTAGGGGTAAGGAAGGTACCGTAGATGGTGGTTCTACAAGTATAGGTTTTTTTTTTTTTTTCCCCTGAGCAAGGATATTTTGATCCCATAACACTGTGAAAATACATTTTCAATAAAAATTATATCATAATTCTATGAATATATCAAACATGTTTTTAATTTCTATTTTCATTTTCACTTTTATATTCATTTCTATTTTCGTTTTTATCAAAATCATTTTCACAGGAGCAAACAGGGCATAAGTAGAGTCCAGTTGGAACTTGAAAGTTAGAACTTCTGGCGGCAGAAAAATCAAAAGGAAGGAGACTCTTCGAAATGTTTGGATAATCGGAAAGAAATTTAGATTTTTCTTCAGTCCTGCTTTGAGTTAGTGACACACTTCCTTCGAGATGATCACACAGCTTTTACGAGAAATTGTAAATTGAAAATACCATACTGTTAAGGCCTTGTAAATCCCAACAAAACTAACAATCAATCTGATTCTATTAGCAGAGGCAGACTCAGCACAAAAGAGGTTAAAATGAGAAACAATGAAAATATGCATTTCACAAACAAAAGATGCATATCCCCCAAAAAAGCAGATTTTCTATCTTCCTATCTTAGCTAAACAAAACCATGAACACCCACCCCCGGAATCTGGTCAAATAAAATGCAGAAGCGAAAATCTCATTCCATGGTATGTCTGCTTCCAAAATATACTCTACAGTTTACAGAGCAGTCGGTATGCTCCTACCATTATCACATTTCCCTCTAATTTCTATCCGTTCAAAATGTTCACAGCATTATGTTCTGATTCGTATACCTGTAGGCTCAAGAAATCTGAGTTAAGCACGCCTACCTATAGGCTCAAGAAGGAAACAGAGTCATTTCAATTCAAGCTCCTTGATCTTTTATTCAGGATGCCCATTTTCTGTTAAGTTTTTACAGTCAGGTCAGAAGCGATCGGTGTTGACCCAAGCAATTAACCAAGCAACGTCAAAGGAAAGACAATTCTATCAAATCTATAATTACATATACACAACAAATGGCATCCACATAAAAGAAAAACGTGCTATCTTACCCTAAGGATCAATTACATCTTAACCCCAATTCGAGTCTATTTCTTGAATATGAGTCTCTAAATACCTTGCGCTTAAAAGCTAGTAATTGTGCTTAAGACCCAGCCCATGCTTGCCACGAACACACCCAGGCCTTACAAACAGATAGGGTGACCTCTTGGAATTGTTCATCTTCGAAAATGCCCTTTTCCCCAATTTCCTCATCCTTTGCCTCCCAAATTTAGCGTTCACAGACCACGGAACGAGCTCATCGTCCAAATCATACCCATCATAATCATCCATATCCTCGTAGTCATCCCCATCGCAACCGCCTGCATCACCATTACCGAATTGAGACCCATCGATCTCATCCTCAACGCCATCAAAACGACGATCGGCGTTGCTATCATCGACGTCATCAGGCTGGTCCTTCAGTTTTGGGGCATCGAAATGAGGAAGGTAAAAACGAATGCCGTCGATCGGGCCTGTATTGGGAGAAATGGACCAGGAAATCGAAGAAACCCACGAACCAGGTCTCTTCTGGGGAACGCAATCACCATCTGCATCGTCGTCTTCTTCTTCTGCTGCTGCTGCTTCAGAATCCACAACGTTGACAAATTCCCACTGGGAGAGAAGATCATCTTTCACTTCCAAGAATTGAACTTCTTGGAGGAGAAGGAACTCCAAAGATGATGTGTTTTCCATTGCAAGTTTAGTAACCTCTCTCCTTTTTCTCTCTTTTGTGAATCGGATGTGCCTTTGGTTTTTCTTGCTTGCTTTGATTCGATTTACAAAGGCGTTGCTTGTGGGAGGAAGACGGTGCGTCCCAATAAGAGAACACAACCTTACGTGCCGAAGCCAATAGGCAACTAGCACGTGTAAGTTTATATCATTAAGTAACGTTCAGCACTTTACGACTAATTGACCCCGAGAGGTAAACAAAGGGTGGATCTTTTGGTGGGAAAAAACAAAAGGAAAAATGTCAATAAAAAACCGTTTGAAAAAATTTATATTTTATTATCAAAATTTAAATAAATATTTATTAATTTAAATTAATCTTTTTTGAATAAGTATACATCAAAATTTTAATAACAACTTATTTTAAATTAAAAATAATTTATTTTAATTTATTTTTTATTTCAGTTTTAACAAAACCTAACTTTTAATTGATATAAATTTCTGTTCACAGAGCTTGATTGCTATTTTCTAAAAGAAAAACAAAGACTTCATTTGTGATAAATGCAAGTGTCTATAGAAACGAGAAGAAGGTGAATTTGCTTCTCTTAATAGCTGAACAAGGGTTTTTAAAAGAGAGAATTTTAAATAATCATCACCAAACAAACTTAATTTCAGGTAAGTTTAAAAAAATTTAAAGTTTTAATTCAATTCAGGGGAGAAAAGTTAAGAGAATTTTAACAATAAAAAATCAGAATGCCTTTCACTCGTTATGCAAAATCATTAATCAATTTTCTTATTGCATTTATTAATTTATCAATATTACTTATAAATTACATTCATTTGTCAGATAATCAGTAACATTAATAGTTAATTTATTAACATCAGTTGTAAATTATTGATAGATCTTATAATTTACTACTGGTATTAATAAATTAATAAGTTAACAATTTAACAATTAATGTTACTGCCTATGATTGAAAAATTGGTGTCAAGTTTTATATAATTATTGACAGATCAACTCACATAATTTGCAACTTACATTTATAAATTAATAAGTGAAATAAAAAATTAATAATTAGTAATTCTATATAACAAGTAAAATATATTTCTATTTTTTCACCATCAAAATTTGTGATTTTTCTCTCATAAACTAAATTGAAATGTCAAAATTTTTTTAGACTCACCTAAAATTAAATCTATACAACGATCCTTAATTAAAATTCTCCTTTTTTAAAATTTGTAAGAGAATAATATAAATAAAAATGCATATAAACACACACATATACGTACACATATATAGATACATTATTTTCATTAATCCATATATATAAATATATTAATCGCCCTTCAATCAATCATTCTAAGGGTATTCGTGGGATTAATGATTGTTATAAAATTGACATTTGACAAAGACATTTTTAAATTTCGGTTAAACAAAAAAAAATCTTATTTTTCTTTTACTTTTTGTTTTGTTTTTCTCTCTAGCTTTTGCTAGCATTTCTTGGAAGGAAATATATATATATATATGAGAAGAAGAATCAGAGTTCTTGAAAGAAAAAGTGAATTATCATTCTTATTTTAAAACCACGAGGAGCTACAACTGTTTTAATATTTTATCTAAAAAAATTTCAAATGCAGTAACACCAACTAATATATGGGAGGCCAAATTAAAAATATAACATGAAATGAGAGAACCAAAAGCTCCTCTAATGTTTTTGACATCTGATTTTTTTTTTTTTTAAAGAGTTATTGGAGTGCCGCCCCTTCCCCTTTCCCCTTTTAGTTTCGCGCCTATCACATGACAGGTGCATAATCTTAAAGATGTACAATTTATACCTGTCTTAATTAATCTAATATCGTCTCAGCCCATCGGCCTGAAAATAATTAAGACAAACTTTGTAAGATAGAACAAAAAATAAATTCAAAACAAAACAAGACACAGAATTACTATCAGAACATCCCGTCCCGTCCCTAATATTTTATATATATATATATATATATATATTATTTTTATTTTAAAAATATACATTAAATATATTAATTATATTAATATAATTTATACTTATATTAATTATATCAATTACACTTTTAATACGTACAATTCTTATTTAAACTTAAAATTTTTTATATTGATAATTTTAATGACATAAAATAAATAAGGCAATATATTTCTTTATAATATATTAACTATATTAATACAATTTATTTTTATATCTACCTATTTAATAAAACAATAATAATTTGATGTTGTACTTAACTTTCATGTTGTTGCTGCTCTTATAATTTAAAGATAACTTGTAATTGTTATCATAATATATAATTATAATTAATGTAATTCAATAATTAATTTTAAATTATTGTAATTTATGTACTTGTATTTTTTATTTTAAATTTAATAAATTATATGATTTAAAATTTTAATGAATGTTATTATTTAAATCTTTCTCTGACATTATCTAATTTAGCGAGATGATGGAATGTCCCAATCCTGTCCCGATTACTAAAGAAATGGGACAATTTTCAAGATGAAACAGGACACGAAATAAAAATTCAATCCTAATCTTTTTTTAAAGACGAGACACGAGACAAAAATGTCCCGATTATGTCCGTGAACACCCCCACATAATCTCACTGAAATTTTTTCATTAGGATATTCCCGCAACCCTAATGGAGAAGCTAATTCCTCAAAAAATCTAAATATTATTTAAAAAAGTATTCTCTTTTAAAGAATACTCTTCATGCACATCTTTAAAAAGCGATTCAATAAACACTTTCTATCACCACACACATGGTTTGACCCAAATTCAATCATAATTAGACAATTAACTTTTGACCCAACATCTTGAAATTTTTTTAGCATTTTAAAAATTATGAAATAAATAAAAACAATAAATATTTCATATTTCAAACAATGTAACTTACATTAAAAACCATAACAGTAAATAATAGTAAAATCAAGCAGACACCAGTAATCAAATCTATCATAAACACATCATAATTCCTCAAAATAAGCCCCATACGAGTTCTAATACATGGGAATTTGTTCCCATGAATTTCACTTTCACATTCAATCCCTATCCTTTGTTCAGCATTGCTCCGGGATTCTTGTATAGCATTTACGCCTCTAAAAATCTCTCAAGTGAAAGCTTTCGTATTGTCGAAGCGGCAGCCAAAACAATTCTACATAAACTCACTCTTCCCTTGACAAATGAACTTACTCCTTCAATTCATCTAACAAGAATTTGAATGCATTCTAAGAAATGTCGACGTAAGGTCATTCTAAAATTAACTATCATTAAGAAGAGACAAATCCTGAAGGAATTTGGGTAAACGAGGCTGCTGATATGGGAGCTAAATCTTAAAGTGCTGTTTGGTACAAGGCTTCTTTCATTTTTTTCTTGGAAACTCAGCTCAGTAAAATAATCACACCGTACGATCAGTACAAGGTTTTAAACATAATTTTCTAGGAATCTTAATTTTCCTTGGAATTTACTAAACAAAAAAAGATGGCTGCTCAAAATATACGAAACATTGATTCGCAAGCCCCGCTTTGTAGGCTTTTGTCTTCTGATAACCTTAACCTTATACCTTACTATCAAGCTTGCCTTCTTTGGAACTAAGCGTGTTGCCCACCACTCTTTCTTTAGCTCTCTAGTTTTTGCCTCAACCTTATCCCAACAAAATGGCTCCCTCAATTTGAATCAAAACAAACTTTAACACCAACTCTCTCATAGATATGCAAACCCCTATATCCAAGGGAACATTAAGTAAAATTTTAGTGACATTAAAATGATTAAAAAGAACCAATATCATCATTTGTCACCAAAATGAACAAGTCAAAATCATTGTCACGTACAGCTCTTCGAAATTGGCATCAATTAAGCTGATAATTTGATAACTATTCAAAGTATAATATAACCTTCACAGCCAATCAATAAGCAACCCGAGTTTATCACAAATAAAAAGCATGAACCCAATGGCGTCCGCATGCATTCACAAGTACAATTGTCCTCCCTATAGTAATAACATAAGCAAAAGTCAAGTATTCTCGCCTACAAACTAACAAGAATAGGCAACAGTGAAGGAACTGAAATATGCTTCTTATAATAAAAATCAAAATCAACTAAATGAGAGGGAAAATAAGACAAACTCAAAAAGAAGATACATAGAAACATGTCTTTCATTGCTATCAATTATCTTTACCTGCTTAAAACTGCTGGACCAACAAATCGCACTCCTTAAAAAAGGTGACCCAAAACTGAGGTTGAAACCAGGTCCTAGGCCAGTAGTTTGATCACCGTACTTGGGAAGGGGAACACAGTAAGCCAGACGCATCTGCACCTATGACTGCAAGATCACAAACAGTACATAGCTGACCCTCTTGACTTGGCACGAACCTGGAGCTACAGTAAGGGCAAGAGACATCCTTCTGTCCTCGATAGATTGGCACGTAAGTTGCACCACAGATCACAAATGGGTTTCGGAAATCATAGTTCAACTGTGTAGTATCAGTCATATTCTTTTCTGCAGCAGCTAGTACTTGTCTCGCTGTCTTAGCTTGGTTTTCAATGGTTGGATTGGTTTCAAGGAGCCTCCTGGCAAAATTAGCAGCTGTGGCAAGGTTTTTAGCCTTGTAGCAGACACTCATTGCATTCAGTAGGGCAAGCCTTAAATGAGGTGTTTGAAGGTTGCAGTGAGTGAAATATGCTGCAAGTTCTTGCTGGCGTACTGGATTATCCTTCATTTCTCGTCTCTTCAGCTCCATTTGCAGACCCAATACATATTCCTTAACTATAATAACTAACTCCTTCACTTCATCAACTTCCCTCCTTGACTCAACAACCACCACAGGAATAGTATGAAGAATGCTAGTGAAAAGCCGAAGAGCCTCAGTGAATTTCCCAGCTGTTGTTGCCTTGTAACCAGCTTTGAGTTTCTCTTCCAATTGAGAGAAATTGAACACGAGAGCTGGTGGACCCCTAACATTAGGGCTGGCAGATTCACTCCATCCTCTCTCAACAGCAAGAGAAATCACTGGAGTTGATGAAAATGCACGCAGATATGAATAGCTTCCAGAATGCAGATCAAGAAACAGAGATTTTAAAGGGCCAAAGTTTCTAATGCCAAGTTGCCTGTTAAGCAATCGCATTGCAGTGTCAAAATTGCCAGCAGCAGCATGTTCAGCTGCGAGGGATGACTTTTGGATCCATATTTGGCTCACTGGCATGCCAGGAGTTGGAGCCACAAAAACTGCAGAACGAGCATTTGCAGAGGTCTTGGGGGTTTCTACTTCAGGAGGAAGTTCAAGATCTTCAAGCTCCCATCCCCCTTCTTCATCAACTTCAGCTGCTTCACCATCGTCCAAAGTTGCAGCAACATCCCCATTTTGTAGGCCATCTTCATCAACTAAATCAAGCTCCTCGCCCCAATCAGCCTCATCAGCTTCATACTCCTCATCAGCACCACCCTGACCAATATTGTCAAGCCCATTATCAAAGACACCTCGCATGACCCTAAGAAGGGGCCAATCACTGCCACACATGACTGGGGATGGCGGCATTAAGAGAGTAGGTACTTTTCCCTCAGGTAAAGATGGAACATTATCCCCAAGTTCAGCTGCTAGCCGTTCAGCAACATCATGTAAACCGTGGGTTGAAGCAGTGATGTAGGCCAGAGGCAAATGGCCCACACTCTCCAAAATCTTAACACGTTCACGGACATCACCCATATATAAGGCATTGTGAAACTGACCCATCACATCATTCTTTACTTCAGCAATTTTCAACATCTTAGAAAGCTTTTCCATATTACCAGTTATGAGATAAAGGAAAGACAATCTCTCAAAATTTTTAGTCCTCTGATACGCATATTCCACTATACCAGCATTGCCTTGGCGAAGAGCCTCTACTCCCAACCTGTACCAGTGATCTTTTTCATCAATTGCTGTAGCTGATGCAACTGCTATTTGAATATTCCCACTCTCTAAAGCCAAATTGAACCGAGTCCTCTCATCCTTCACAAAGTGAAGAGCAACTTCCGGAAAACCTTTCTGTTGTAGATAAGCAATCACTGCCTGCCCACAAAGCTGTGAGTTTCTTATCATGTTCATTACATTGTCATACCTTTTCCTCAGCAAAGAAAGCTTGAATAAATACTCAGTAGCATCGATAACTATAGATCTGTTCTTCCCATCCCTATCTAGACAGAAGATGGTATTCCCGGAAACCTTTGTGATATAAATTGGGACATCTAGTGTTTTAATTATCCCACTATCTCCATTGGGAAGGCAGTACTTGATGTGATTTAAAGTTGTGTAAATGAAAACACCATTATCATCCCAGCCTCCACTTTTCACCCGGATTGTCTCATGGAGAGTGCACTGATGCACAAGCTTCTTATTTGCAATGATAATGGCATGTTTGCTGAGCAAAGCAACGCTTTCCATGTCATTTGACCAAACAACATACTTGACAAAGGGAGTTTGAAGATCACCAAGAACAATCCTCTGCTGGAGATCAAATATAACAACCCTATCCTCTGCCCTACATAGCAAGTTACCCGTCCCTGCATAGAATATAGCATCTGTGGCTATGGGGAGGGGACTCTTCTTTACAAGCTCATTCTTCAAGTTCTTCAATAAAACTTGGTTGTTACTTTTGTCAAGCACAGCAAACCTGTTGCGAGCCACAAATACAGCAGATCCTCCAATCCCTCTCTTTGCATCTTGCACATCTCCCCTACCGATGCTATCCTTGGGTACGACATACAACTCATAAGATCCCCCATCTGTATCTGAACAGAGAAGAATAGCATTTTCTGTTGGACTGTAAGAAAGCGTCTTTGGACTTTGATTCAAGCTCAAAGAACCAGGTCGTCGAATAGGAAGTACTTGTAACTCTCTTTGAGTTGAGAATTCATAGAACCTCAAAAATCTATCTTTAGTATAAAAGACAGAGTCTCCACTAACCGAAAAAGCTGGTCGCTCTCTCTCCAGCTTAAAGACAATCATACCACTATCATGACCAGCTGCCAACAGATTCATTTCAGGATGTGCAGCTAGAATCCAAAATCGGTCATGCTCCCTACGGAAAGTTTGAATTCCCGTTCTCTTTGTAACATCCCAAACCCGAATACTTTTGTCCTCAGAATTGGATACAATTATGTCCTGTTTCGCATGGAACATAACACATGATACATTATTTGTGTGCCCCCTTAACGTGTCCACTTCCCAAGCCTTAGTCTCTGCAACCAAATTAAAGGTTAGCTCTCTTAGTTTTTTAAATAAAGATATGTGAGCTGGATAGAGCAGCTGGGATTCAAACATCATAACCTCTTCTTACAATAAGCCACATAGAACATAAAGTCTTTTGCATCCAAAAATTAATCATGCACTAATGAAATGGCAACAAAGTTATGAAGAAATGTTAAGACAACAAGAGATCGCTATTAATGATTGGATACAAAATAGGATGTGACTATTGGGTGGGGGAACAGGGAGGACAGAGCAATTATACCGTTCATTCTCCACAGTTTAACCTGCCGATCATCAGCTCCTGAGACAATGAGAGGAAGTGTGGGATGGAATGCAGCCCAATTGACTCCTCTATCATGACCTTCTAAAACATACTTGACAACAGCATCAATACCACCAAAAAGATCTGTGTTCATCTGACCCAGTCTAAGTATATCATCCGCAGGAGAGGCAGTCTTCTTTTTGAGAGAACTAATATCCCAAACACGAACAGTCTGATCTAATGAGGCTGAAACAACAAGATCTTCTTTAGGGTGGAAAGATGCACACATTACATAATGATTGTGTCCAGTCAAGACTGATACGCAGGTGCGAGACTGCCAGTTCCAAATGCGAATAGTCTGATCATCACTGGCACTCACAATCCATGGGGATTCATGATGAAACTGCACTGTACGGATATAATCAAGGTGCCCCAAAAGAGTAAACAGACACCTATGCATCTTGTAGTTCCAAACTTTAATCTTGTAATCATCCCCTGCAAAACAATAACTTCACATAAATACATATGCTATACCAGAACAACAAATGATCATTATAGCAATCACTTCATTCACGGATCCAGAATGCACTTCCCCCTAGACTGGGATTTTTTTTTTTTTCCCCTTTTTGATAAAGCCCCTGGACTGGTATTCACCCCAGTAAAAACAGTGCCTTCAGTCTTGAGGAAAGCGCACATATAATGACACTGGCTTTAAATAGTTCAACCCCTGAAGAGAAAACTCCATAGTCTGAGTGCTTCTAGTAATCATTCAATCAATGCCAATTGTGACGAAAGAACGTATTTCACGTACACACATTATAAAACATATAGAACACACACCAAAACTACTTCAAGTAAACATTGTAGGGCAACTAGTCAACTTGGTCAAAAAACTTTGGCCTGATGTCGGCTAGGAGAGGTTGCGGCCAACATACACAGTTACAAATAAAAGAGTCGGTAACTCTGATCTCGACCACAACCATAAACACACGAACAATAATACTGGATCTGGTAGTTATCTCACTGTCAATCCAGTTCTCGTGATAGAAGGACATATAATTTGAATTTCAAATTTACTTATCCTTTTAATATCTGCATTTGTGAATTTTCATTCTTGATTTAGTTTCTTTGCATCTCATCGGAAATAAATACCAAGATCTATAGGCCTTCGATCAATTCAAATATCAAGCATTCCAACTTCCCTTCTCAGTACATGCATCAATGGATCGGCTGAATAAACAAGGACACTTACCGGATTTATAATGCTAATGAAATTATAAAACAGATACCTCCAGAGACAAACAACGGCTGAGTTTTATGGAAATGGACACCCCGTACTGGTCCATCGTGCTCATCAAATCTGTCAATAAGAGTGCCCATACGATAGTCCCATAGCTGGATAACGCCACTGTGAAGACTCGCGAGGATCCATGGTCTCTTGCTGTGAAAACTCAGGCCCTTCACTCTATTGCTCTTGGTCTCAAACTTCGTCAACATCTTTGGCGATCACCTATCCCAAAGTCCGTATTCACAGTACCCCCGACCGAATCAAATAAAATTTAGCAAATCAAAGAAATCCCCCTCCCCACAAACTAGATCAAACCCAATTCCAATATAACAAATGACACTCACCTCTGTTTCCGCGAAGAGCAAAGCCTTCAGAGATGAAATGTTATTCAAAGCGAAGCAATACTTCGAAACCACAAAATAGAATTTTAATCGAGAAAACTCCAATTGGAGACAAATCCGTATCAGATGGGGATGGTGGTTGAAAATTAAAGGAAGGAGCGAGGAATTTCAATCCCTTCCTAGATCTGGGTTCTGTGCTGATTTCAGTCCCGGGAAGGGAAAGGAGACGTAATTTTGTGAGGGTTTTGGATAAAAGAAAGTGACCTTAAATTCAACAGTGTTATAATTGTAAACAACATTCTGTCTTTTAAAAAAAAAAGAAAATTGATGGATGGATGGTGGTCGCGTCGTTGATTTTTGAGGGTCCTGATTTGTCGTATTGCGGTGATGCTAAGGCAAAGGAAATGTGCAAGTACCATTTTAGAAAATGAATGAAAATGGCAATTTCAAAATTGGCCAATGAATGCATTTGTTTTTTTTTCTTTGCTTTTATTCCTTTATTTGGTTGGCGTTTTCTCATATTAATATCAAGAATTCATGAGTAAAATAAATTTTAAAGTATTACTATCCTGAATTTTAAACTTTTAAAACCTGTTTGGTTGGGAGAAAAGAAAAGAGAGGGAAAATTTTAAAAATTTTATCCTCCCCTCTGCCTTACCAAACAATCTCCTCCTCTTCCTTTCCCTCCATACCTTCCGCTCTCTTTCCCTTCCTTCAAATTAAATAAAGTTTTAAAATATATAAAATGAATTTTAAATTTTTAAATTCATAATAAATTAAGCTTTATCATCAGCTTTTTGTTAAAGTTATTACTGTTTCATCGTGAATGCTAATATGACAGTCTCTTATTGATGTGTGTTTGTTAATTAGCGTCACAAACCCTGAACTATTATACAAGTAGTGTCTTGAACCTTAAAGTTTAAAATTTTAAGCAAATTACCCCACCATTTATGTATAAGATGTTGATTATTATATAAAGTAGATTAGCCTTAACGTGGTTCATAGCGATAAATGCATCATTGGCCGTGACAAACAACACATAATTTTGTAAAATAACTTTTTTGCCCTTTTCCAAATGATTATATTTTATGCTTCCCTGTACTCTATAATTCTGATTTAGTCCTCTTTTGAATAATGTTTATTTATTTAATGACAAAAACTTAGGATCCTATTAAAAAAGAAATTTAAACATTAGAAGATTTTAATTAACTAGTTAATTTGAATTTTAAATTTGTTGATGAAATCGTTGACTTTCACATTCATCGTTTGTAAAATCATGTTATGTTTAAACTTCTTTTTAAATAGGATCCTAAATTTTCATCATTAAATAAATAAACACTATTCAAAATTAAACTAAATCAGAGTTATATAATATATAAAAGTATAAGATATCAATCATTTGGAAAACATTAAAAAAAGGTCATTTCACAAAATTATGGGTCATTCACCATGACCAATAATATATTCACTACAGTGAACCATGCTGAATGAAATATCTTCCTACTTAATCACAATTAGCTACCAAATTCAAGGTAATCAAGAGTCTAACCCCAATAAGGATTACTAAGTTTGTAATTTATAAAAATAGGATCCTAAATTTTCATAAATCACAAATCACTTAAACGTTATTTAATCAACCTCAAATTATAATAGAAAAATATTTTGAAAGCATGAGATATCTTGAAGAAGTAAAAAGACTCGAAAACAATTGAAAAATAACAATTCATGAAAAACAGGGTAATGCGCTGCGACTTGTGCACATGCGCTATGATCGTCCCTTTTGTTTGCCACACGTCGTGCAGTGCAACGCATTTTTTTACAACAACGTAGGGCAACTTTTAACATACCTCATTTCTCCATCCGATATTCAAATGAGGTGATTTAAGTGCCTCCAAAAAACTCTTTTCATCAACTAGCTAATGACATGGGTTTTATTTTCAAATTAAGTTACTCAAAAAGGTTAAACACCTAAACATATTTCCCAATCATTTTACAATTTTCACCATTCAATGGTGTCCAAAAGCACCACACACATGCTAAAAGTCATACCTAACACCCAAATCATACTTAATGAACTTAAGACTGCCTGTACAATATATCACATGCACATATATACCACAGTATCAAATTTTCACTCCTCGCCCCTTTAATTCAAAAAACAGAAGGGGATTTTAGTATTGTATAATCCAATCATTATTATTTTCAACAATATGATAATAGTTACTATATTTACACTAGTATTTTAACCTTATTGATTCTCTAACCATTTGCATACAATATTTCAAAGCTCAAAATACATCTTAAATTCATTAACAACAACATAGTATAAGTGTAAACAAAATGTAAACTAATTGATAATATATTATCTATTACACAAAATCTATGTAAGAGATTTTACAGTAGGAATCCCAAATTCCTAAGCCTTTAGACCTTTTTTGCTTTCCACATTAAAGCTAGAACTTGTAAAATATTAAAAGAGTAGAGTGAGTCTAGTTACTAAATAACCAAAATACACTTATCATATGCAGTTATATATCAATTAAAATAAATGTATAAAAATTAGTTGATTACTCAAAAATATCAAATTTCATATGATATAAGTTATAATTTTACAATTTAATTCATTTTCATATCTCTCATCTCAAATCACATAGTACATTGCCACAAGACACATAGACATGTGGTAGTAGCCCAATTCATTTATTCCCTACTCATTGTCACAATATTGGCAACCATGTGACAATGGCACATTCATTACCATGGCTTGTCACAAATTTAACAACCATGCAACATATTGAATAAAAAAATATGCATGATCAATTCTACCTTACACCTTATTTATATATTCTTACTGAAATTGTGAGTTATAATATCAAATAGAACTCCGTTTATGTGACTGAATTACTCAAACTTACTAATTGTAATGTGTGATTTGGCCAAAGATCACATAACCCACTCTCAAACCATAATTTTCTCTACTCTTGAATATCTTGGATGTTGTATATCCTAAACTAATCTTTTCGAGAAATAAGTGGATATAGTTAGGTTCTAATCCCTTAACAAACTATAAAATAATCATTCGACAAATAGTAGGATAAGGCTTAACTTTCATACACCAAAACGCAACTATAAATACATATGGATTTTATCTACTTAATATAATGTCATTTAGTCAATTTTATCAAAACCTTTAAGATAAAACCATACGAAATATAGTTGTTTAAGTGTTCATAAAAAATTGCTCATAGCTGGCCACTCCGTCCCGCTTGAAATCGGCTTTTGTCTTTTAACTGGTAATGGAGCAGCGTGGTGTACGTTTGTTCTCGAATTTCTAAAATGACTGCAACATTGATAATATAATCAAAATTGTCTCTTTTTATGAATAATAATTATTATTATTATTAGAAAGCACGAGGCGGATGTGGTATGAGAAAGTAATGAAGAGCCACGAGTGTAGCATTTTTTAGGCCAAAAAAAAAAAAAGAACGCAGTATTTTCTCATCAAGGGGATTTTTGTCTCAATGGCAATATGGTATCATTACTAATTACTTTAATTTTTAAAATGTCTCCTACTAATTGGATTCTCACGGCACACTTTTGGGGCACCGCAACCGCTTCTTAGACTCTTACCCAACTTTCATTCACCGAACTCCACAGTAGCCTCCCAAATTGTAGAATATTCCATATAATTTATTAATTTAATAGTCATGTTACTTATTACCATAAAAAAAAATAAGAAACTACATATAAAGTTAACCAAAATAGATATAAATACACACCAAGGCTAGATATCAATCAATAAGTATAAAAAGTACATTAATTGGGGATAAAGTGAAGATTGACAATAGATTAAAAAAAATCACGATTTAAATTTTTATTTTCTTTTCCTCATTTCCAGAACCACAAGAATAAGATAGTTTAACAAAAACTGGGCCGCTGGGGCTTTCATAGAGACGAAGTTGTGAGATGCGGACGTGGGAGACCCAATAATGAAGTCATACCTATTATTCATGTAAAGCCCAAATATGAATGTTCTTGAAGCCCATACAACTAGTGACAATCTCCTTATGACAAGGGCTTGTAGTCTAAAGCCCAATAGGTGTATGGGCTGGAATAAGCCCAGATAGTTGCCGCCTCAAACTCCTTACTTGCTAAGAATTAAGGTGACATGGAAGTTTTTCAGAGAGTTCTTTGACTATTTAATATTTATGCCAAAAAGAAATGGTGGCAGATATATCCCTTACGTAAGGTACAAGTTTGAGTAGCTTAAATGGCATGGTGGGGCCAAAAGAGAGTGGGTCATGATATTTAATATGGGAAGTCTGCCATTGCCATCCCAACCATTTTAAAGAGCCCATGTGAATCATTATATGCAAGTTGCCTGCAGAGGCAAATAGAATATTATTATTAGGCCCTCAAGTCACATCAAACTTCGCTGCCTCTCAATTGCTTTCATTCTCCTTCGGTTTCTCCTCTAGCATATGAATATGATGATATTTATTGTTTCAATTCTACCTGTAAGGTATTTGAAATATTTTTCAAGTGTAGAGATGCAGTGGTTGATTTTTTATTTTTATTTTTATGCTGTTTCTTATCAATTGTACTAAGTTTCAAACCATAGACACGTTTCATTGTGACCATTAATTTCAGTAAAAGATAAAAATTTAAAAGTCAAACACTTTTTACAAGTTTAAAGGTATTAACCATCATTTTTTAATAACTTTAAAATTGATTAATTTTATTCTTTAATTTGGATCCGAGCAAGTATGTCCCTTTATTTTTTTAAAAAAATCCCAACTTTTTTATTATATCCTTGTTAATTAAAAGAAGGTGACGAGTTATATTGTTATTTGTCTTGATACTTTCTCAAGTTAAAGAGAGTAAAGATAGCAAATTATTTCTAAACTTTAGAGTAGCATGTGAGAGGGGGCGTGTGAGTGTGTTTTTTTTTCTGGGCATTACTGTATCTGAAGGTTTGTTTATAACATGGCATTATTATGATTTTTATTTTATCTTATTCTCTTTTGTTTACGTGAAAGAAGGCCAAATCTATAGAAAGAGGCATTAGTTTTTAGTGGGTGGGATTGCGGTCACTTAACTATGAAGTCTTGAATTTGAATTTACGCAGGTACCATAAAAAATGCTTTTAAAAAATTACTTTTAATTAAACCCGATAATGTATCTAGATCACATGCAGTCAATTTAATGCAAGTGATAAAAAATAAGAGGATTCTTGCCATCCATTCTATCTAATAGTTGG